GCCATCATCACACGTTTCATATTCTGTATTAAAACGCCATTACCACATTAATTAATACAAATATTGTCAATAAGGATTTAATCTATATCACATCTAATCTAGGTTATTTAATCTAACAAGGAGGTAGAATTTTCAAATTTATCGATGATTTATAATTTATCCTTGATAAGACACTTAGAAGTTGTAATATCTAATTGAAATTATTCATTATCACATTTTCTACATTCATTCATTTCTTCACATTCAATACAGCCGTAAGAACATTAACGCTAGCATTAATAGCAACCATAATATGGTATATCATTTCCATCTTCACATTGTTCAAGGCTAGGAATGATAACTCCATCACCACAAATAGGAATATAAAATGAATTACTTAATTAAAAATATTGTTAGCACACTAGACAAACATCTTGATCTTAACAGATGTTACAATAATCAGAACAACTAATTGGAATTTCATCTTAATATTATTCATCATCTAAATCTGATTCTCCCATTTCAGTGCAAACTCCCAATGTACATGTTAGACATTATGGAAGACTGGAATACTAACAAACTGACATCCATCATAGGGTTCTAAATTAGCATCATCACAAACTTCTGGATGAACAATAATTTTATCTCCACAAATAGATTTGCAATGATATTATTCTCCAAAGTATCCACTTTAACATCGTTCACAAATACCATAATTACAGATATACATCCACTTCCACAATTATATCTGCAATTTAAACAATTACTTGTTATAGATTGTAGGTAATCATCACATTATTCATCACCTGCTATGAATTCATCTCCACACTTTTCTTCGCACTTATTATTTGTTAGGTAATACCCTTATTCACATTTGAGACATTCAGGCTTAAAGCACAAATTTCGCAATTACTATTTCATTTAAATTTGCATTGTTAACATTAACTAATTACCTTATTAATGCGAGTCTTTACTTTATTCATTACCAAATATCGTAAAATCATCACAAATAGGTAAGCAATTCTTTGATTGATTATGAAATATAAATCCTACTTCACAAAGTAACATAATCCATTTTCACATCTAATACAATGTTCTAAACATCCTATAATACATTTATCACATAAATCAAATGGATTTAAGTTATATTCCTCATAATGTTTAGTTATAATTCCATCCCCACAAATATGTTGGCAATTATTAAAATCATCTAAATGCCATCCATTTACCTCATCACATTTCAAATAATATCCATTTTAACAATTGATACAATTAAAATCACAAATAAATTTACAATGATGACTCCATCATAAATAGTATCATTGCCATCATCACATTATTCATCTCCTTAAATCATCATATTTCCACATATTGGCAAACACATTTAAATAGCTTATCAATAAGTATATCCATCTTTACATTAATATCATTTACCTTGAAGACAATTCAAACATTCTTCTTAAAATGTATACCTACACTGATCACACCCATCAAATGGATTACTATTACCATCATCACAATCTTCTCCATTGACAATCAATTGATCTCCACATATTGGCAAACACTCTATATTATATCCATCATCATAAAAGCCAACTATACATTCACATCTTAACGAATTTATTGAAATATGGAAATCTGAATTACAAGTAAACATTAATCTTAATCCTTC